CAGGCGTTTCTTGCATTCTACGAGCAATAGAAGCCATGGTTTACAACGGTCGCAGCGTTTGTTCCAAACCACTGTGCATCTTGTATTGCAGCTACCTCCATTCTCGTTTGGCTTAGCTCCTTTGCAACCAACGTAGTGTGTCTCGGGTCTGCTGGCAGACGTTCCGACTTTTCATGAGGCAAACTGTGTGTGAAATTTAGTACTCTGCAGTATTTTCACATTCTAACTCGAAGCCAGTGAAATTTCTGGGTCAGTTACGAATAAAGTCCGGTTCAAATGACAAATTTTCTACGGTTTCTGTGATCAGACATAAATCAACAGAGAGGGTGATCGACTGAAACTGCTTCACCAAGGCCTCTTTTGCCATCTGTTTCAGGGTTCATGACAAATATTAATTGCAGTCATAGCAGCATATCCACTGTACTTCGCCCTGCAAAGCATTTCTTTACGTCAGACGTTGCGCGGCTGACACGACTCAAACGAAAGGATTGACTTTGATGACCAATATGGAATGGGTTTAGAATAAGTTGATCCAGGCTTCGTTCAAAAACTAGTACTATGCTATTAAATCTATAAGATTGGGTTTGTATTTATATAGGCTTTATTCATTCTTCCTACTATTTTATCTTTCCTTTCCCTTTTGTTCTTATTTTCTTTAATGCAAATTGTTTCCTGTACTGATATTGCTTCCATATTAAATTGATTGAACGAAATTTTACTTCCCTTGAAAATTGGGTGCCTACTCTTTCATCATGGAACATTTATGCTAATTTGCATTTTCACTCGACATCGTCGATACACTGAAACGTGTTTTGCATTAGATTATCTGTCAAGCTAGCAGATTCAAACAAAAAATGATATTTATTTTTGGCGCAAAGAATTGTGCTATGGATTGCAGCATTTAAAACGCCCCGAACCACCCCTTTCACTGCTCTCTTAAAACAGTAGTTCTATGCCATTTCAAGCAGAAACACTGACAGGAATACCAGTCTTACGTAATACATATGTTAGAATCATCCAGAATAGAACCGTATTATGCGTTTTTCATATTACATATATTAAAAGCAATAATTATTAATAACAAAGAAACACAAAATATTTTTAATGAAATGTGAAAACATTGACAAACACGCAGTCGCAATTAATTTCATTACCTTGAAATTATGAATGAAACAGAGTATTAAAAATAAATTTTATTACATAGCGAAGTCATCAACGTCAAGGATCTAGACGTACGCATTAATTGTTAGAATTTATAAAAGCCAAGAAATAAGATATTATTCAATTAGAAACTTGATCTTTTCGAATTTAAGGATTTTGCCATGTTTATAAAAGAGGTCGCAAATAGTGAACTACTCCTTGAATTATAGTTCACTATTCGACGTGCACTATGATTTAATAGACTGTCAATGTGGCAAGAACCTTATCATAGTACTGCACAGGTAGTCAAAGCGCGGAGGGTTGCTCTAAGCAGGTAACTTCTTTCTGCCACTGCGTTAGCAAAGACCATTGTTACGAGAGGGGCGGCGTCATAGTTCGCCTGCAATAGGATTGGTCGAGCGGTCCTTACCCGTATTTTCTTTCTGGCGCTCTTCCAGAAAGTTTCGGAGAAATGAAGGAGCACTGTCTTCTTACGTTCGAATTGTTTTGAAGCGATGAAACACCTACACCCTGCTGACACTAAATGCTGATGAAAATTTTGAGAATTCAGAAGCAAACGAATCTTGGCATCAATCCGCGAAAGTCGTTCTCTTGCATAAATAATATTTTAATTAGTGAATGAATATAGCAATGGCAACGGCCTACGATAAAATTCATGTCCGATGTACTTTCCAGCCGTTGTGTAATTCAAAGCAGTCATGAGAACGAGTACATTTGGTGGTGCATGAAAATGATGCAGTGAAATAACCGGAATAACTTATGTTGAAACTGGTTGTATAGGTAAAGTTTCACTACAATTTATGAGTCTTCGAGTCATCAGAGTGTAAGACGCAAAGAAACATTCATTGTACTAAATTGTTGTCGTGACACTCAACTACAGTTCCATATTGATAGTCCTTATTTCAATATACGCACAGTTCTTCGTCAGATATGTTGAGTACACATACACGGCCTCTTTTACAATGTTCAACACAGTTAATGAGCCAATGAAACTTCAGGACTTGACGGTGCCTTCCTGGTAGTGAGCCAGTTGGTCAAACAGACGTTAGGGGCAGATGGCTGTCGCCTGACCATACTCATTCGGCCAATCAGATGTTGCGCGCAGGGGGTTCTTTCCTGGTTGTGCCCGTTGAGCAAGTTTCGATTGTCGCGGCCTTCATCTTTCCAGTGTCGTCGTTATCCATTATGCAGCACTGGTGACATGTCAAAAAGCAGGTCCAGCTGACTCACTTCTGATTGTCATCAGTCTGATTATAATTGAAGTTTGAGGGGTCGCCCACATAGTAGACAAAAACGATAGGTTCTGCATCAACCAACAGAACTTCATCACAGATTCGCTCCCTAATACGTGTATGCAGAGAACTTATTATCGGCAGACAGAACCACATGCAGCAGCTTTCATTTTCGCTTTTGTGTATTTTCAACTTATGTCATTGGATGTATAGGAAATGCAACAGCGTTTGTGAAGCATGGGCTTAGCAGATATTCTCTATCATATATCTGATACGATATTATGTCCTATCGAACCGATGGAGCAGTGTGGTTTTCATCACATGAAATTTTAGTGCTTCGTCGCTATCCAAAGTCCTCTGCTAAGCCTAAAATTTCGTATACCCTCTCTTTTGCCTTAGTTTTAGGTTCAAACTTAAGACTCCAAAATACCTGCAATGATAC